GCCAGAAAGGTCACATCTTCCTGACCACCAGGACAAAGGGGACTCTCTGTGGAGTAGAATCCCAAAACCTGGAGTCTTGGGCCAAAGTCTGGACTTGGAAGAGCAGCCACATGAAATTTTGAATTGCAGAAGTTCAAAAGGAAACCTCCAGATGGCCTTGTGACTATTTCCTCGAATACTAGGAGTGGTAAGGATACTTCTCAATGCCTCTCAAAATGTCTTCCAAGAAAGATAAGTCTAGGCCATCTGGATTGGGTTTGCCTTGGTTCTGAATTCATTTAGCACATAACAAGTTTGGACATGCACGTCTCAGCAATGGAAAATGTTAACTGAAATGGTCACAGGTGGTTTTATCCTTGTGGGAAGATTCAAAAGTGAGCTTGCATGCACCCAGATGGTATAACCAATTACCACAAGGACCCGTGGAAACCAAGAGAAGAGGTAAATGTGAGGTGGAGGCAGCTGCCAGCATTGCGCTGTGTACTTGAGATAGTTAGCTATTGTGTCAGCTTGAGGGGAAAGTGCCCAGCCAGCTGTATTATCATGGTTCTGGGGGTGACTGAGTGATGGACTTAGTGAAGAGCAAAGACCCACCGTCACCATGGGTGGTACCAACCTCTAGGCTTGCAGCCTGAGTGGAATAAAATGGGGAAGAAGAAGGAAGTCTCATGTCTGAATTCCTGGAAGAGCTCCAGTCTTCCCTTTCACGTTGGACATCCATCTCCTGGCTTCTAGCACAGACCCTCCAGCCTTCCAGCACAGACCCTTTGGCTTCCTGAGAGGGATTCCCACAGAACTCCAGGAACTCTAGGCCTTTGACTTTTGACTAGACCCTTTGGACTCCAGCCTATAGATGACCCTTTTACACTTTTTAACCCTACTTTGTAAATCCATAGATATATAGATATGTGGATATATGAATATACAGATATACAGATATATAGATAACTATTCCAAGTCATTTATTGAATATAGAACACTACAGGTTACAAACTTACTTGTTTCCCTCTCATAATTGCATGGAGGTTCTAGCTGGCAGCTGCCTATCAGGGAGAGAGAGAAAGAGAGAGAGAGACAGAGAGACAGAGAGAGAGAGAGAGAGAGAGAGAGAGAGAATATCATAACGTTTGCCACCAACATTCAAAAGTCAAAGTATGATTCCTACAGAGTATGTATCACTTCCACACCAGTACAAAGTCAAAGCAATCATATGTAGAAGCATCCTAACACAGGAATTGTTGGTATTAAACTGTACAAAACAAAACAGCCATTACAAATCCAGTAGGGAAAATGACCACAAACAAAGAAATACATAAATACACTCAATAATTACCAATGGTGACAAGAACTTCAAAGGCATCATTCAAGGTGCTATGAAAGAGACAGATGGAGAGGCACTTTCATCTGGAATTTGCTGAAACCCTAAATTTGGCTAAGAATGAAGTAACCTTGTGAAGGAGGAGGTGACAGTACCAGAAGGAGGGACCTGTACGTGTGAGGAACATGCTGGCATTTTTTTTTTTTTTTGGTGCCAAGAATTAAACTCAGGACCTTGTGCTTGCCAAGCAAGGCACTGTGCCACTGTGCTGTATCCCTGGCCTCCGAAGTTAGCATTTAAATACATTTGCAGGAGTAACTGTTATCGATATATAATATTAAATACACAGCATAAATAAACTTTCACAGTCACCATTCTAGTACTCATATCTATATTTGTTCCCAGTTCTGAACAAAATCTCACATGCATTATAAGCCCAAAATATTAATCTACTTTCAACAGCTAACAGTTAATTTGCCACAGTTTCTGTAGGTCGGGAAAGTTGGAGTGGCTGATTTGGGTGCCTCAGACTCAGGGTGTGTCGTACCTACGGCCTCTGCCAGAGCTGAAGGAAAGTGGAATCTTAACCAGGCTGGAGGGTTTTTCTGCACTCTGAGCAGAGCAGACCGCTGCTCTCTGCTGGTGGAAGGTGGCAATTTCTGGCTACATGGGCTTCCCCGTAGGGCAAAGGAAGAGAGGAGGTGCTGGAAATGGCGAGACGGTAAAGGAGAAGGAATGGAAAGGAAAGGAGGAAAAAGGGAGGAGGAAGGGCAGGAGGAGGAAGAGAAAAAAGAGAAGGAAAATGAGAAGAAAGATGAAAGAAAGAAAGAATAGAAAATAGAGAAGGGAGGAGGAGAAGGTGGAGGAGGAGAGAGTAAACAAAATGCAGGTCACGGGCTTTATAATTTGATACCATAAATGACATCCTGAGTCCTTTTCTGCGTTCTATAATTTGTTGTAAACCCACACTCATAGGGAGAGGAAATAAACATCAGGAGGTGAGGGTCTTTGGGATCTTAGCCATCTTGAAGTCTTTCCACCATACTGACTTTCTCCTGGCCGGTCTCTTTCTCTAGGTAATAAACATACCCCAATGAACCCAGGATATCACGAGAAGTTCAGGGCGTTCTCAATGCTGGACCTGGCCACTAAGTTGATGGACTGGACTCCAGGCTGGTACAATTCCAAATTCAGACGCACGGGGGCAGCAGGAACACATAGCTTGGAAGTCTCTAGCCCCTCAGTTCGTTAGGACATTTAGTGTCTCAGCTCCAAGCACAGAGAAACGGGAAGCGAGCAAGAAGGAAGGGGCGGGGGAAGAAAGGGGAAAGGGAGGTGGAGGCACAGAGGCAGAGAAACAGACTGAGAAATGGACCCGAGGAACTTTATGGCTGAGTTACAGCCCCACCCCCAGTCCTTTTCTCCATTTTGAGACGGTCTTGCTAGGTTGCCCGAGGTGGCCTTGAACTTTTAGTCCTCCTGCCTCAGCTTGTGGAGTAGCTGGGGCTGTTGCTGAATCCCGATTCCTTAGCCTCCCTACTCAGCCCTCTGCACCGAGGAATCATAAGCCCGCAAGCCAGAGGCTTCTCAACCTGGGACACACTTGGTAAGGCTTGGAAACTGTCCTAAGTCTTCCACATTTCTCATTTCATCCCTAGGTTCCCTCAGTTTTAGTGTCCTCTTCCATCTCGTCACTTTTTTCTTTTTTTTTTTTTTTGCCATTCCAGGTAGGGCACCCAGGTCCTTGCACATGTTAAGCAAGTACTGTATTACCGTGCTACATGCCCAGCCTTAACGAGTCCAAGTAAAGAAAGGATAAAAAAGCATATGAAAAGAAGGAAGGGAAAAGAAAAAATATATATATGCACACACATACACGATAGCTAAGATAAATATACTACTAATTTCTATTAATTCATTAAAAACAACAGTTTGTGCTTACATCGTTTGATTAACCTTTCATGCCTATATCTTGTAATCTGAGCAACTACTTTGAAGATACTATGCAATATAGCAACCACTGTTAATCTCCTATTATCTTGTTTTGAAACTATCATTTTCTCTCTTTAAAATAAAAAAAATATTAATTTGCAGGATAAAGAGCACATAAGGGTGAAGGGGAAGGTTGTAGTTTTCTTTTGAACAGCTTTGTCGAGGTACAATTTATATATGCACCCTGCATTCCTTCATTTAAACTATACAGTTCGATGGTTGTTAATATATTCGCAGATTACCTGAGCAACGTTATTACCAAAATCCGTATCATTATTCTCAAAAGAAACCTCACAACCAGCCAGTGCCACATCTGGTCTCACTCCAAGTCCTCATCCTCGAGCCTTAGGCAAGCGCTAATCTGCTTGCTGTCTTTAACTGATTTGCTGATTCTAGATACTTTGTATAAATAGAGTCCTATTCCATATGATCTTTTGTATCTAATTTCTCTCACTGGGAATAGTATTTGCAAGACCCATCCACTCTGTAGCTCATGTCTGTGCTTCATTCTCTTTCATGGTTAGATAACTTTTTTTGCTGTGTTTTTTTAGATAACTTTTCATCCTATCGATGCCCAATATTTCATCTATCTGTTCACTCATGCATGGACTTCTGAGCTGTTCTGTACTGTTTTTTATGAATAAACCCTCTATGAGGGTTTCTGCACAAATTTTTGTGCATACAGGATTGTACTGCTACTTTGCGATTTTTATTTGTAATCCTATTTTTGTTTTTAAGTGAAAAAATGGTGATTGTGCTTGCTAATGGAGAGCACGGTGATATTTCAATACATGTATTCAATGTGTAACGATCAGATCAGGATACATGGTGTATCTATCACCTTGGATCTACATCATCACTTCGTGTTGGGGACATAGAAAATCATCTCTGCTGACATTTTATTTCACTCACCTCGTTGTGTCAGCTGTGGTTACTCCCCGTTTTGCAACGTGTTACAAGTTATGCTTTCTAGGCTGGGGATTTAGCTCAGCAGCACAGCGCCTGCCTGGCAAGTGCAAGTTCGTGAGTTCGATTCCCGGCACTGGAAAAAAACAAAAACAAACAAACAAAAAGTTATCCTTTCTATCCAGCTGCTCCTGTTCACATCAGCCACCCTCCCCCACCCCTCCCTTCCCCACAGTGTCCCCCACTCTGGTAGCCGCTGTCCTAGTATTATAGGAGCTAGGTGTAAATATCACAGGCAGTCAGGCAGGGCTGGGCCCTCTAGGAAGTCAGCACACAGGATGAAAACACATGAAAACAACTGTGGATTGAGGCACATGTGTTGGAGGCCAGGCCTCAAGATAAAGACAAAATGACCAGCCCTACATCCCTCCCCAAGAGATAAACAATAAATTAGCATTAACGTCAGTCACCCGGTGGGCAGCCAAAACCCCCTGATTCATCTCTTCTTAAAAGGTCTTGATTCTTCCCAGATATCCTTGCTGCATGAGCTGCTTCCTCATTATATCACTATTAGCTATCTAAGTGGCTAAACTCGTAATTGAACTGGTTGATCATAGTTTTGTCCCGCATTGTACTCACCTTGTGATTTCACACCCTCCTCATGATTTTGCTCTAGAAAACTTCTTCTGTACAGTGGGATCCATGGCAACCCACTTTCCAGGCCCTTCCCCATCTCTCAGGAGCTGTCTCTCTCAGCAAAACTGTCCTACTCTTAACCTCAGTTGTTCCCTAAAATCCATTCTTTGATTTTGGAGAACACAAATTCGATGTATCAGACAGCTAGCAGGTTGGGAGTTACATTGATTTCCCCTGTATCACTGTTCTCTGCTTGGTTGAGATGAAATTTTTAATTTTCTTTTTTTTAATCTTTTTACCAAACAAGCGTTCTACTGTGTGTACAGACCACATTTACTTTAACCTTCACAGGACTGTGGTTTAGATAAAGTGGTTGGGGGAGGTCTCTCCAAGAAGGTGACCTTGATACAGGCCTGAGACATGTGAAAGAGCACAGCGTACAGTGGCCACAGAAGGCAGCCAGTGCCAGGCCCCCGATATGAGGCCAGCTGATGTAGTCAAAGAATTCTTCTGAGTATAACAATGAGGCTACGTTAGCACAGCTAAATAATGCCGTTTTCTTCTCAAAGTAAGGAAATAAGAGCAACTCCCAATGATGACTCTGATCTGGTTGCAAAGTTCAGAGCCTGTGGAAGGGAAAGGAAGGGGAAGCCTTGGGGTAAAGAATAGTGAGTGGGTGGCACCAAATGGACAGATGGGAAGCGGTGAGTGTGGAGTGGAGGTGTGAGTCCGGATACCAGCCAGGTGAGGAGAAACTAGTACAGCAAGAGGAGCCAACAGCTGCTCTAGAGAGTGACACGATGCCATCAAAGCCTGGAATTTCCCCCGGGAGTTGGAGTCCTGCCTACTCCAACCCCTTTCCTCTGCTCTCTTCCAATAGCTGAGGTCTGAGCTTAAAAATCATATTAACTGAAGCCAGCTTTGGCAGCACAGGCCTGTAATCCCAGCACTCTGGGAGACTGAGCCGGGAAGATCACAACTCCAAGTTCTGCCTGGGCAATTGAAGAAGAGCTTGTCTCAAAATAAAATATAAAAAATACTAGGGAAGTATCTCAGGGTAAAGGTCAGGAAGTCAGCCTCCAGTAGGCCAGAAACAAAAACAAAACAAACAAAAACCATGCTAACTGAGACAAGACAGGCATTCACTGAAAGATGAATCTCACGTGGTCCCACGCATATTTAGAAGTTTAGAGACCCGCGCTCCAGAAAGAAGAGTAGAATGGTAATTATTGGAGACTAGGGGAGGCTGAGGGAGGAGGGATAGCGGGAGAGTGGATGATAGGTACTAACTACCAAACTACACTTAGAAGGGCTCATTTCTACATCCTACAACGTAGCGACAGGACTATCGTCCACAACAGCACACTACATGTTCCATGAAAAATTAGAACACAGGTGCTTGAAGGCTCCAAACACACACACACACCATGGAATTGCTAATTACCCTAATGAGATGATTACACACTGTATACAGGTATTAAATTATCACACTATACTCACTGTATACAGGTATTACATTACCACACTATATATGTGGACAATGGTTATGTGCCAATTAAAGAGAAAAATAAAGTTCGTTAAATCGTGCTTTTCTGACTAAGCCATGTCACCCCCTGCCCTGCAGCAGAATGCCAGTCTTGGGCATTGTTCCCGAATTAGTGAAGGGCTTGTAGAAGGTTGCATCCCCAGCTAGTCTGACAGTGCTACTCATTGCTGTGTCCTCAGACCCAGCAAGCCCGGAGGACACTGTTTACCATGAACAGACTTTCTCTTTGCATGTCTTGGAGTAAGGGAGGAACTGGGGCTTCCCAGGGGAGTCTGGGTATAAGTGTGCACCATGCAAATAGTCAGGGTTCCTCAAAGGTGTGTGAGATCCTGCAAGAAACAGCTAAAGCAAGAAGAAGGAAGGAGAATTTTCTTATAACAGACTACAGATTGCTGAAGAAAAAGCAAGGTCTCCAGATCCTTTCCAGGAATTTAAGAACAAATGAAAGTAGATGGTCTTCTTTATCTTTTTTTTCCCCATTACTGAGGATTGAACCCAGGGCCTTCACACTGAGCTACGTCCCCAGCCTTGTTTGTTTGTTTTTGGGGTGGTGTTTTGTTTTGTTTTTGAGGCAGGGTCTCGCTAAGTTACTAAATTACCAAGGCTGGACTCTAATTTGTGATCTTCCTGCGTCAGCCACCTAAAATGCTGGAATTACAGATGTGTATCAAAGTGCCCGGCTAAAGCCTTCTTTAAAAATGTTAGGACTGAGGGTGTATCTCCATGGTAGAAAATTTACCTAACATAAGTGAGGCCCTAGGTCGCATCCTAGCACCACAAAGAAAATCAGTAAATAAAAGACATACATTAAAGCAACTTCCCATTCACCCTTGAGTGCCAAACCTTAATAAGAAATTCACAGGAGCCGGGAACTCCCCACCCACATACAAATGCACATTTGTAGACACTCTGATACTGGTTTTGTTGGAGGCAACTGACTAGATAGAAATACTAGACAGAAATATTACAGGCAGTCAGACAGGGCAAGGCCCTCAAAGAAGCCAGTATGAAAGACAAGATACTTTGCAGCTGTGGGCCAGACCTCAAGACAGAAGTATAAACAAATGCACCCACATACCGCCCTAGGGATGGACATCAGGGATTGATACTCTAAATAGGTATCAATCACCTTGAAAAAGCCAGGAAGAGTCACTAACCCAACCCCCTACAGGAAAGACCCCTGTTCTGTATTCATGTCGGCTTGCTATGTGACTCACTTCCCTATTTGATCCTGATTTAATCAATTTTACCTCAGCAATTATGCTTGTAACCTTATTGGTTGACCATAGTTTTGTCCCACCTCATGCCCGCCTTGCATGTTCCCGTATTTCCCACCTTGGAGCCGCCTCACCTCATGATTTTGCTCTATAAAGGTCCCTAGAAAAGGCAGGGTCCTTGGCCACACTCAGGCCCCCTTCTGTCCCTCTCTCAGACAGAAGCTTTCTTTCCCTCAATAAATATATTCTGCTCTTAACTTCTATTGTTCCTAAAATTCATTCTTCAATTTAGAGAACACAAACTCACGCCAGATATCTTTCAGGATGGGAGTTTCTTTCCCCTAGATCAGTATTTGCTTTTGTGATTAAACACACAGATTGAGCTCAGGTTGCCTGGATGAAAACTCTAGACCACTTGCTAATTGGGTCACTTTGGACAAGATCTTTAGTTCCTCTGCCTCGGTTTTCCTTTTATACATGGACCTGTAAGATAATATCAATATTGGCTCTCACGGGATTACTGGCTGTTTAAACACGATAGAGTATATGCAGGGAGCCAGGCATCATGTAGCAAACAGTGAGTGCTTCATTATCAATGTCATTGTTTATGAACCTGATTTGTGTACTTCCTAAGAGTACCTGAACCTGTTTAGGCCATGTTTTAGGGTCAGAGGAAAAGGGATAGGGTAATTATTAGAGTCAGAGCTCTAACAATTGAGGGTTAGAATCACCGAATCTCAGGGCGGTTCCCACAGAGACATGAGTTAAATCTAAACAGTGCTATTTTTAACTGGTTCTGAGTGGTAACTTAGGGACCTAGGTCTCTGTGCCCTGGGGAAAGCAGAGAAAGTAGCTTGTGGTTCGAATCTGGGTTCCTAGGGATATGGGAGGCCTCTGTAGACTCTGCTAAAGGAAGCTTCTCTGGGAACTTAGTGTTTGAAGGCCTCTGGAGGTCTGCAGTGTACATCATGCTCTTCGGGATTCTTCCCCTCTGCTGGAAAAAATCTGGCAAGATTGATCACTGATCTCTCCTCTAACCTGCTCAAATACAGAGTGCTATAGTTTAGATCTGAACTGTCATTCAGAGGCCTGGTGTAGCCAGGTATGGTGGCACACACCTGTAACCCCAGTTCTCTGGGAGGTTAAGCAGCAGGATCACAAGTTTGAGTCCAACCTGGGAAACTTAGTGAAATTCAATCTCAAAATTTTAAAAAGGCTGGGGATGTAGCTTGGTGAGAAGGCCCTGGGCTTAATCCCCAGTGCTGCAAAGAAAAAAAGCTCCACATGTTAAAGTGTCAGTCACCAGCCTGTGGTGTCACTGGGAGGTAGTAGAACTGTTACAAAGTAGGGCCTGCTAAGAAAAAGGTAGGGCTTTGAAAGTGTGCCCCTGAAGGGACTACTGGGGCCTCAGACTCCTTTTATCTCTCATTTCTTCCTGGCCATCGTGAAGTGAACTGGACCCGTCTGCTCCTACCGTGATATACTATGCCTCCATGGGCCCAAATCAATAGGACCAGCAGGATCAATAGGACCATGGACTGAAACCTCCAAAACCATAAGGCAAAACAAAAGCATCAATAAACCTTATTTCTTTTTAAGTTGGTTACCTATGGTATTTTGTCACAGAACCACAAAGCTGAGTAACAGAATGTGTGCCTATGTTGGTATCTGCCTGCCCAGTTGTAGGTCTCATTCATTCCTCTGTGGAACATTCTTGAGTTTCCAGGG